CATAACCAAGTAGGACAAATGAAAAAAGAAAACAAAACCAAACAAAAACAATAAATACAGCTCTCAATGTAAGACTATGTTAAGAGATAAAAAAATGCCTTCAAATTTCCTATTTTAAAGTCTTTGAAGATTTAAACACTTTTAGATGTCAGTGGAAATTGTAAGTAAAGATATGCCATATTCCTTTAAAGAATTGAGTCTCGGGACTTACCCGGTGCTCCAGCGGGTGAGACTGTGCTCGCGCTCCCAGTGCAGGGGGCCCGGGTTCATTCCCTTGACAGGGGAACTAGATCCCGCATGCATGCAGCAACTAAGAGTCTGCATGCCGCAACTAAAGGTCCCGCGTGCTGCAACTAAGACGTGGCGCATCCTAAATAAATAAATATTTTTTAAAAAGAAAAAAGAATCGAGTCTCTCTTCTAATCTCAACACAAAACAGGAAGCTTTATAGATACCCGCTTGAAAGATGATTCTCCTAGAGTCAAGGCTTCACCCTCTCAATGGACCTAGGAGGACTCAAATCTCTCTGGAACTCAAGAAGGAATTGCCTCCAAACTAATTCACTAGGGGCCATTTTCTTTTCCTCTGGGCACTATGGAAAAATTCAACTCAAATTCATTAGCATTCAAAAAGCAATAATTAGGGCCTCCCTGGTGGCGCAGTGGTTGGGAGTCCGCCTGCCGATGCAGGGGATACGGGTTCGTGCCCCGGTCCGGGAGGATCCCACATGCCGCGGAGCGGCTGGGTCCGGAGCCATGGCCGCTGAGCTTGCGCGTCCGGCAACGGGAAAGCCACGACAGTGAGAGGCCCACATATCGCAAAAAAAAAAAAAAAAGCAATAATTATTTCACCAAATAACCTGAGTGAAATTGTATACCCTATATTCAAAATGACCAGGTAATTTTTAAAATAAATTTCCAACCTCAAAAGATCATCTTTTTCTCCCCAGAGTGGTCACGGCCTTTACAATGCCCAAGCCCTTTAGAACATTGCTCCCACAGGTACACGCAGCGCACGTGACTGGTGAACAAGGCCTTCAAAAGGTCCACAGGTCAGTCATCTTGACAGATACTTTATTTGAAATGGAATGCATTTTGAAAATACGAAAAATAAATCACATCTCTCCAAAATCATTTAAGAGACATATTTACACAAATGACAACCACTTAAGTTCACAAATGTGATAGTTTGTAAAGCATTTGGTACATGGTGATGCTTGCTTTTCAAAGCTCGTATTTGCATATTCTGAAATTTTAAGCAGAAGGTTGACAGGGGAATGTAACAGACAATTGTTTTACCTTTCTTCTCAAAATAAATACAATGGTCTGGAAGGACCACCTGTTGTTAAAATCTGCTTCCCCACCACCCAGCTGATCACCAGCAGGCCAGCTTCAGAACAGGTAGTTTTTATGCAGCTGCATCTAATGGTCCAGGGCCCTTCTGCTTCCTTCACTGGACAATAATGACCTTCCTAGGAAACCCTGTTGGATCCTTTACTCCATTTGACAGATGGAGTCCTGCCAACAAAGTCACAGATCACTTTGTCATCCAATCTTATGTAAATCTGGATTGGCTGTTCGGCACCGCAGATCAAAATTCACCCTTTAGGGCTTCCCTGGTGGCGCAGTGGTTGAGAGTCCGCCTGCCAATGCAGGGGACACGGGTTCGTGCCCCGGTCCGGGAGGATCCCACATGCCGCAGAGCGGCTGGGCCCGTGGGTCATGGCCGCTGGGCCTGCGCGTCTGGAGGTTGTGCTCCGCAACGGGAGAGGCCGCAGCAGTGAGAGGCCCGCGTACCGCGAAAAAAAGGCGGGGGGAAAATTGACCCTTTAAACTGTGTCAAGAATTTAGAAAATAGTTCTTAGAAACCCATCCAACCCAATTCCACAATTAATACATTTTAGGTTGTTTTAGGTAAATAGGTGTATTTCTCTTGAAAGAATCACTGATGGATTCATCGAGCTCTATAATTCCCAAATTCAAATTTTATTCTACTGAGGGCATTTTACTGGTAAAGCAAAAACGAATTAGTTTGACATTTACAAAAAAAAGAGGAAAACGAATGTTCACAGGCCCATCGTCATCCTACAAAGCTCTTTTTCTAGAAATTGCTCCAGTTTCATTCAAGTCTTAGATCCCTCTTATAAACCTGCCACTGAACATGACACTGTCAACACTTGGAGCCAAGCTAAAACCAAATCACTCCCTGGGGACAGAAAACAAGTGATGTGTTTGAACCCACACACTGGCAACAACTCATATAGTGTCAGACTTAAATGAAGAGTCTTTAAGAGAAATAGTGTTTAGAATATGAGAGCAATACAGCATTAAAACAGGCCTCTCAGCTTAAGCCAGACTTCCTAACGGTGCTAACGTGTTAAGAGGAGCTCTTTTAAGCAACAACTGGGCTTCGCTCTATTTTTTTAACCTCCATTGAAAAAAATACGTGAAATGAAGTTGTAAAGTTGGTTTGATTTCTACATGATGAGACAATCCCCCTTCCTCTATGAGGGAAATGTTCATTTTGAAAGGGCCCTTTATAGCCATTTGCTCTCTGACCTCAGCACTCCCCGTAGGGCATACGCAGATCCATGTGGATCTCCACTAAGAAAGTATGTCCAAGGAGTTCCGTCACGATGCATAGCTGGTCCCAGTGGTAGCTGTCCTCAGGGAATGGCATGAGAGCAAGTAAAGAAGGAAGCACTGTGTGAGGCAGAGAAATCACCCTCCTGGGTGCTGGGGAGTTAGACATTTTTTCCTTCTTTCATTTGTCCCAACAGATAGTCATTGAACTCACTGTGTAAGAGGCTTGGTGCCAACACAAGTTCAAAGACAAAAAGTTCAGTTTCCAGATGGGACATTCCTTTTAATTTTCCAACTTTTTACATTTTATGTTTATTTAAGGGGTGGGTTTTCTACTGGACCTGTCCCCTCCTTCTTCCTTTTCTTGGGTTGAAAGAACAATCACCTTTTCTCCATGAAGGTGATTTGTCAGGCCTCAGAATACCCTAGGTGGTTTGTATCATTTTCTTACAGGTAAAATAGAGCCGCCAACACATTAAATGATTTGTATTTGCATTTTGTTTTGCTGAGTATTGTTAAGTATGCTCGTTTTTTGTTGTTGTTGTGCTGGAAAAATTATTAAGCCATAATAAGGGTTAAATAAAAAAAAAAAATCCCATCCTACTCCTCTCCTTTCTAATTTCTGAGGTTTCACAGTTAAATGCTAAGAGGGGTTCAGACTAGAGAGTCACTAAGAGGGTCAACTCAGTATAAATATCACAGCAGAGCAAGGACTAAGGGCTGTGGAAAGATAATACAAGGAACCATGATTCTGGGGGCCACATTACAAACCAGAGCCACTGTGAGAAAGAAAAACATTCTAGCAGCCACGAGGGAGCCTGGGCATACTTTTTTTTGACAACACTACCTAGCCGGTATGTAAGCTAACAACATACAAGTGCCTTTAAAAGCCTACAAGAATCTTAATTTTAAAAGTATTTGGTATGGATTTTAATTTTTTTATAGCATGAGAATTTGAAAGAAAAATCCTTCCATCGGAAAAAAAAAAGCTGTGGTTTAATTGGGGTTACATGATCTGCATGTATTAAAATGACAGTACAATGAGGCATTATTAAAATGCACAGCAGTGGTTCCAAAGAAATCAAACCGAACTTGACTTAAGAACTCTTGAGATCTGCTCTCTGAGATGCCCATCATATATACATTTTTTCACAACTGCAACTTAGCCTCTGCAAGTGGGAGTCCACTTAAATTCTGCTTGCCATTTGGTTGACTTTTATTTCCCCCACCACTTTTTGGATTTGAGTTATGATCTCAAATTTTCGTCATTTAAATATTGCACTGAGAAGTAATTTGACCTTGAAACTCCTTTTCAGATGGAGGGAGAATAAAGATATCTCTAGCATGAAATTCTATTTTCATTTCTTGACTACAGAACTTAGCAGTGGCCCAATACTGACCATTCCAATTTGGAAGCTGGAAAAATACTGATCAAGACTTTGCAGAAAAGATGATGGAAAACAGAGACCCGTTAGTAAAGCTAGGCAGATAGGAAGTGATTTTCAGCCGCAAGAGGATTTGGTAGCATCTATGGGCTCTTTTTAAACTTAAGTAGCATCTGCCCTTGTGGACTTTGACCATCCTTTTGATTTAACACAGAAGAGGGTTTGTTCTACCTTTAAAAGCACATGCTCTTCCCCCACCTCCCCCCCCCACCAACAACCCCCCAGACTCCTGAACAAGTCGCTGCTAAAACAAGACTGGGGTTGTTTTCTTACTGCAAATCCAGTGTTTATCCAGTCCTTCCTTTTTCAATTTCTGAGTTTAGCTAACCTAACAACAAAACATATAACCCTTGGATTTCTCACAGAGCAATAAAAAGCAAAACAGCTGGTGTCTCTGATCAACATTATTCTCAGAATGAAAACAAAAAGCTATGACTCCTAGTCCTTTGAAATATTTACAAACTGTATTTTAAACTATGAGATTCTAGATAGAATACGATCCTAGAACAAAGTAAAAGGGCCAGAAAATGTGGTTCACATCAAGTGTGCAAAGCTCTTGGAGAAGGGTAATCTCTATTGTGGCTAAGAGCACAAATGTTCTCTCAAACAAGTGGAATAATTATTTTCCCCCACTATGCTTTTTGAAATGAAACACCTAATGCATTCATACTCAGAAATCACAGAAAACTCCTTACTAAACCCTTCACACATAGATAATCTAAGAAAGCCTTTTCCTACAGCAGACCCAGCCCTCCTTGTATATTCAGGATATGATCATCTTGCCATCAGTTGGGTTATGTTTGAAATATTTTGAATCAGCTATCATTGCTACTGATTTCCTTTTAGAAAAAGCAATTCGATTTTTATAATTACACAATTCTGAACATTTAGCTTCTTTAAACTTCCACTCTACACAAAATATATGTTGAAGGAAAAAAAACTCAAAAGAAAAAAAAAGAAAGAAAACACGTAGTATCACAGAGTTTAATTTCAACCACCTGGTATAACATTTAAGTATCAGACCTTCTGAAAATGAATTCTTGATGTGTTGCCCTTCACCGCCCTTTTACTTTCTTTTTTCCCAAGATTAGAAATTACTAGGGAATAGGTTTTTGAAAATAAAGTTTCTTTTTTGGAAAATGGCCTACATTCAGAAATGTCTCAGAACAAGCATTTTTAAAAAAACTAATAAATAATCATAAATCAAAATACATTAAAATAACATTACAGTACATCATCGCTCCTAAAAGGTCCACCATACTGGAAGATCCTCTCAAAGGTTCATAAATAAAGCCTTCTGGACTCGAAATCATTTCCTGCATTGTGATGAAGAGTATGCAGAAAAACTAAGAGGAATTGCCAAGTTATCGGTCGTATTCTGTCCAAACTACTTGGTCTGGTGCGGGCGGGGCGACTGTTTTGTTTTCGATCCAAGTGAAGACAATAGAAAGGTGCTTGTCCCACTTCCTCAAGTCCTCACAACCTGGAAAGAAATGACACGGATTGAAGTGGCTCGGACTCCTACAAGACCCAGTTCTCTTCGGGCCTGTCCCGTGGACAAAGCGAGCTCAGAAGGACACCGGGGTCGCTCCCTCGAGTTCCCAGACACACTCAAGTGGCGCTGGTGACAAGGAGAGAAGCTGCGGCGTCGCTGGGGAGCGCACCAGTGAACACGCGTGGGTCAGCGTGGGCGGGCGGGCGATCAGAACTTCCTGCGCGGCCCGAGCCCCGCACCCTCCCCCCTCTGCCCCGCCTCTCCTGGCTCCAGCTTGTTCCCTTCTTTCCGCCTCCCAGAAAGCTGCATTAATTTCTCATTTTTCCACCCAAGATCCGAACCGGGGAAAAGGCTTCCTACTGCTACCACCCCCAGCCCCACTCCTCGGAACCTCCCTCGGGAGCCGAGCTGCCGGGACCTCACCTCGTCTGGCTCGGGTGCTGCCCTCTTCAGGCAGAGTTGGAGGTGCTACGGAGAAGCCGGTGGCCGTGCGGCTGCGAGAGCGGTAGTGGGTGCGGGTGCGGATGTGGGTGCGAACGCAAGTGCGGATGCGGATACGGATGGAGCGGCTGCGGCTGCGGCTGCGGCTGCGGCTGCGGCTGGGGCTTGGGTTGGGGCTGCGGCTGCGGTGGGGCTTGGGGGGGTGGGGCTTGGGGGTGGGACTGGGGCTGAAGCTGCGGCTGCGGCTGCTGCTGCTGGACCAGGTGCTGCTGCTTCTGCCGCGTGGACTTGACCGCCAGGATGGCCTGACGATTCTTGTACTGCACCATCTGCAGCGTGATCTCCGCGTTCCATCCCTGGTCCTGCGGGCACCGAAAGTCGATTTCCTTGCCCTCGGCCATCACCACAGTGAAGTACATATACTTGCCTTTGCGCTCCACGCAGTCCACGGTCTTCATGTTGGAAAAGTGCAATTCCTTCAGCTTGACGGGCGGCTCGAGGCTGCCCACAGCGGGGCCTCCGGGTTGGGATGGCTCGACCGTCCCCTGCCCGGGCTGCTGCTGCTGGTGTTGCAGCTGTTTGGGCGGGATGAGCAGCAGCCCCTCCTCAGTGAGGATACAGCACTTTTTCTTCCAGAGCTGCAGCAACCCGTCGCTGCGCTTCTCCAACACACCCTCCTTCAGCGCCTTGCAGCCGCTGCTCTCCAACATCCTCCCGGCATAGGGGGGGCCGCCGCTCGGCTCGGCCTCTCCTCTTCCAGCCGCCCGGGCCCGGGGGGGCAGCAGCAGCCGCGCGCCGTCCTCGCCCCAACGGCTCCCACGGCCGCCCGCCCGGAGTGCGCAGAAGAGGCTAACGCGCAGGAAGCAGAGCGGCGGCGGCTGCTGCGGCTGTTCCTCGGGGTCCGGGCAGCAGGACAGCCGCGTCCTGATGCGCCACAAGGTCCGGGAGCTGCGAGCCGCCGGGCCTCTGCCGTCCTCTTGCGAGCGCTCACTGAAGGGCTCTGGCCAGGCCCCCTCGCGGCGCTTTTGAATGGGCCATCCCCCCCACCCCCGAGTGACACCCAGCGGAAAAGGCGGCTCCTGGCGCCCGCGCCGCGGGGGAAAGCCCAGCTCCGAAAGGCACTCCGCCGCCGGCGCACGCCTCATTAACTTGGGGCCTTTCCAAAGCCGGCCGCGTCCACGCCCCCCGCGTCCCTTGCTCCGCCTCTCGCCGCCCACTCGCTTCCGCGCTCCTTCTCCGGGATGGCTGCAGGGACCCGAGCCCCGGAAAGTCCTCTCCTCCGCCGGGGGCCACAGCCGAGGGCGCCCGAGATGGCCAGCGAAGGATGCCGAGGCGCAGAGGGCGCTGAGAGGCCATCCCCAGCCGTCCCGCCTCTCCGCCCGGTGGGGCTTTGTGCTAACAGCCTCAGAAAATGAGGATGGGGCTGCGAGGACGGGTACAGCTACCAGACAGTGCCTGGTACGCCAAGCTGACCCTCTGCCCTCGGGAACGCAGCCCTGGGGATTCGCGCTGCCTGGGCGAGCAAGGAGCCAGGGGGCGAGGCTCGCGAGCCGCGGAGTCCCGTGGAAGCGTGCCTCCCCCGGACACTACGTAAACATCTTAGTGCACAAAGGCCGAGAGGACACGGTGTCTTTACACTCACATTCGCTTACGGTCACTAACTAACTCTTCTTGGAGCCGAAGGGGCGATTGTTAGAGCAACAGCGCTACCGTCTGTCCCGTTTGGAAGGGGTAGAGGAAGGGGACCACTTCGAAGGGCAGCTCGCCTTCCTTTTCTCGAGCCAGGAGCGCAGGCACTGCCTATCTTTACCCGTGACACAAGCGCTCTAGCTTCCTTCTTGACCCATCCGTACAGCCCGCAATCTCTCACAACAGTAATTCAACTCTAACGACAAATTCAGGTAATGCCCGGTCCCAACACTTTAAGGCAGTTCAGCCTTCCAAACGGCAGGCTAGCCTCCGCGGGTCCCTCTCTTTGCAAACGCCAAACGGGTCAGATCTCTTGTAATCTCATTTATCTGTAACCTGAGGAAAGTAATGCGGTACTCGCCCCTAGCTCCCTCCTACTCCATTTAAACAATTTCTATAGAAATTCTGGGAAACAAGGCAGAATAAAGAGCCTAAGCCGAGACCAAATCTCTTGGGGGAAATGTATTAAAGTAAACAGAGAACCCCAACTATGTACCAACCCTGAAAATACGAAGAATTACACAAAGAAGAAATAAACCAGGGGTGGATAAGTCAGAGTTGGCCAAGGTAAGAGGAAAGGCTGCTACTTGAACTCAAGAAGGAAGAAGGGAGAGCTTAGCTCACCTGTAGTTTCATCAGGCTGGTACCAAGAATTCAAAGGGGAAGGAAGAAGTGAGATGAGCTTGGAGAGCGGAGCAAGATTCAAATTCTTTGTGCGTCACGCTTAAGAAATTCCAGGTTTATCCCAAGGTAATCGAGAACAAAGGATAACTTTTGAACACGGGAGGGTCCCGAATCTTAATCTAAGGAACAATGTTTCAGCAAATGGGACAATTCCAGCACAATCCTGAGACCCACTGAATTGCACTTAGTGGGCTCTCAGGGCCTTCACATTGTTGATGGATTAGTCTTTTAAGGAGAAAGGCAAAGTCATGGAAAGATTTCTTTACATGATTACATTTTTAAAAGGTTACTTTTTTTAAATTCTGTATACCAATGAATGACAAACACTGCACCTAACATCTCAGTTTTTCCCCTTTGCAGGACAAGTGAGCAATCCAGAGAATTTCCACATGACCAGCTGTTCATCTTTTTAACAGAATGCCATTCTTCAGCTCATTTAGAAAGGATACTTCCTTTAAATGTGTAATTCAGTGTCTCTGAGGGCAGGTGTAGTTGGGAAAGACATTTCATATGGAAAATTGATACTATACAAACCGAACTGGGTAAAACACTAAGATGTATTCTGGAAGCCCAAGCCACTTTCTTGAGTGTTTCTATCCTTCTGCAGTTTATCCGGATGCAACAAATGCATGCTATCTAAGCTACTTCACAATGTCTGAACAACCAGCAGCACGATTTTCAAAAGCACTTGTTATAATTAGAGACTTTAAAACTCAGAATTTCCAGTTGGGTATTTCACGACTTAGTGACTTTGTGAACAGCTCAGAAGTAAGTATACAGTTTGCCTTCTCCAACCATAGTGCAACTGATTATTGGAAATCTCAGTAGTATAATATAGGAATCTTGTAGATAGGTGACAACTTTGCTTTTAATTTCACCAATCACCATCAACTCACAAAAATGGCCATATTACCATTTTTAAGACAAATAAATTCGCAGAAAATGAGTTACAGGAAATAAGTGCCCCCCCCCAAAACAAATCCCACAACTTCAGTTGTAGATAATGAAAACCTACAAATGTCACTTAAAAAATAAAGTTTAGAAAGCTAGCTAACAAGTCACTGCTTTGGCAAACAAATCTGAAAAGGCTTAAGTCAAAGTGTATATTATAGCCAGCTGCATCAAGTTGTCTATCAGCAGCATCTGAGAGTTGATCATCTTCTGCTCTAGGATAGTTCTTCACTGGCTTGGAGGACATCACTTAGCTTTCCTTCCACCTCCCTGGTCATTGTCTCTGCAGGTTCCTCCTCTTTCCAATCTTTTGAGTGCCCCAAAGCTCAGCCCTTGGTTCTTTTATCTACACTCACTCCCTTGATCTCATCCAGTCTTATTATTTTCAATAAGATCTATATGCCCAAGACTCCCAAATTTATATCCAGCTGCTTGTTGCCAAAGAATAAAACAAAGACTGCCAAAGTCAAAAAATAATAACACACCCAGGCAAGGGAACACATACTGGTGAAGACATGCACTGAGTGGTTCGCTAGAGGGAAAAGTCTGAGGGGATTTTCGATCATAGAAAGCAGGGTTCATGGAGCTTTTGCGAACAAAAAATAGCATATGCTGGACAGGATGGAGTCCATAGGCTTATATATGACTGGTTAAAACAAATTCCTGGGTAGAACTGGTTCAGTAAGGGTCTGAAGTCAAAGTTCATGGTTTTTAAAAGAGCCTTAGCTGGTTAGAATGGCTGTAATGAAAAATACCCTTCCGTTTTTATATATTCCAGGCCACTGTTACTGTAAATTGAATTTTTTCCTTTTCCCTTTCTCTACAGTACTATTTGGGTGTCTATTAGAGAACTAGAATATATGCACTCCCAAACTTATCTCCTCACCCTGACCTGTTCTACTTACCTGCAATCCCCCTCTCAGGTGATGGCAATTCTATCTGTACAGTTGTTCAGGCCAAAACCCTTGCAGCAGTACTGCCCTTAGAACAAGACAAAAGGAGCCCTGTGCTTTGAAAAGCCAGTACTACATGCCTATCTGGAACTCATACTTGTTCTAGACTATACTCCAGGTACTCACTCCAAATACCCTGCCTAAATGACCTCGGCTATTTCAGAGTATTACATGACCATTGTGTGCACCGGTGTGTAAGGTAGGTGGACAGATTTTGAACATGCAGGCTAGGAATGTCCACACAAACGTGCAGGAGGCCCCTTGCCATACAATTCAGAGGCAGGAATGGGAAGACAAGGGAAGTGGGACACAGGCAGAGGATCAGCTTCCTCACAAGGAAGCTTCTGGCACAGGAGTTTTAAGGATCTGAATTTCAAACCTAGACCTCCAGGTGCTTCTGAAGGTGTATTTGGCAGGATAGTAGTGTGGGACATATCTTCATTGAACAAAACTTCAAATTATTTAATCACTGGCGTCTCCACTGCACTCCTACCCCAGAACAGCAAATGTTTAGAAGCATGCCTGCCTTGGAAAAATCCTTTGCTCGCTTTCCAGTACCCAATCCACAAATTGAGTCAAGAAATCCCAACGGTTATGCCTTCAAACCATATCTATATTCTGTCCATTTCTCTCCACTTCATCACCACCCCGATCATCTCTCCCCTGAAATACTGTCATGGCCTCCGAACTTTGCCTCCCTGATTCTACCCTTGTTGTCTTACCACCTATATTATAATCTATTTAAGACATCCCAATCACTTCAAGTCTCTGCTCAAATGTCATCTCAATGAGGGCTTTCTTAATCACTCTAAAACTGCAACCACCCAATTTCCCTTAATTTTTCCCATGGCATGTATTACCTCCTAACATAACTGAATAATTTATAATGCCTATTGCTTATTTCTGTTCCCATTCCTAGAGAATGTCAGTTCTTCCAAGAGGTCAAAGATCATTGTTTTGATGGGTCCCAATCACCTGATACATCTCTTGGCACACAGGAGGAGCTCAACATATGTAGAAATTTTAAGTTGACTCAAAAGCCCACATCTGTCATAAAAAGAAAATCAATGTCTTCAAATGCGTGACAGATTTTTCATAATGCATCCTACTTCTTAAAGTTTTCAAACTGTAACAAGAATTTATGAAAAGACTTCTAAAACTTGCTATACCAATACATGTATTTGGTAATAGTTTTTTTTTTTTAAATAAGTTTATCTATTTTTGGCTGAGTTGGGTCCCTGTTGCCGCGGTGTGCGGGCCTCCCACTGAGGTGGCTTCTCCTGTTGTGAGCATGGGCTCTAGGAGCACGGGTTTCAGCAGCCTTGGCACTAGGGGCTCAGTAGCTGTGGCTTGCAGGCTCCAGAGCGCAAGCTCAGCAGCTGTGGCACACGGGCCCAGCTGCTCTGAGGCATGTGGGATCTTCCCAGCCCAGGGCTCAAACCCACGTCCCCTGCATTGGCATGCGGATTCCCAACCACTGCGCCACCAGGGAAGCCCTGATGATAGTTTTAAAAAATTGAATTAACTATACATGCTAGGCCTCTCTGAACTTTAAATGCTACTATAGTCTATAAATGCTATCTAAAACACATCCTACAAACCTTCCTTTTCCTGAGCAGCATGCAGCTTAATATTGAGAGTTATTTATACATAATCCTATTGCTTGCTAGTTAAGAGTAATCAAAAAAAAAAACAACAACAACAACACAGTAATGGAACTGAATTGACAGAATTTTCTCTTAGTTGGCAGTTACCTGCTTAGAAGTTCATTAATACTGGCTTAAAGACATTTAACAGAAGTTAGAAAGTTATAAAGTGTTTACTTTCATTTACAACTTGATTACAAGATTATAAAATTTTTAATCTAT